CCTTTTGCCTCGTCACATATGACGTGACACGGCTCCGTGTTGAGCTGTGCACTACTTGGTATGCCGCTGCCGTCGATCCAAGAGCTTTAGGACGCTTCTTGCCGCTGCGAGACATTGCCATCATGATCTTGCTCGAGACGTTTAGCCGCACGCCGACGTTGGATTAGCTCGTGAGGTCGACCAAGGCAGTCGTCGACCTGGTAACAAAGTGCATTGCACAACGTGAATCGAGGAGCGCTACCCTCGTACATGTATGTCCTTTTCAATGGACGTATGATTACATGAACAAGAAGGCAAACTCTTTCTTGACGACAACCTTGTCGGCTTTGGCGGGCTTCTCCAACGACGGAGTCTCGATAGATGGGCCTTTCCGAACGCGCGTCGCTTGCACACTCGCCGTCGCTCGTCGCTTCTCGAGCGAGCACCGGTCGCCCGGCGCCGTGCGCGTCCCGACCCGCACGTGCGCGCCGCCACCATACGCTGCGACGACCGGTGTCTCATCTTCGTCCGAACTGACCACGTCCTGGCGCAACCCTCCGAGCTTCGAGTCGAGTTGGGCGATTTCGCGACGTAAAGCATCTTCCTCCATTGACATGCTCGTTGTTTGCACGGGCTTCAATGGCGACACGGGCCGACGCGTCGCCCGGACGTCGGTCGGCGCCGCAGGTTTGGTGACCACCACGGGCGCAGTCTTGGTGGGTTCCGTTGCTTTCTTGACGGGCTCCGTGAACTGCGCTTTTTTGGCGAGTTGCGTCGGTGGTGTCATCTGGACGGGCTCTGCGGGCGGTAGCTTCTTGGTGAGCTCTGCGGGTGGTGACGTCTTGGCGAGTTCCTGGAGCGGGCGACCCAGCGTCGGTTGCACCGCGGGCTGAAGAGTGTGCACTTGTGGTGCCGGCACTGCAGAAGTAGCACGTAGGCTCTCGGTCGCGATAGGCTTGGTCGTTGCGATGACTCTGGCGGGCGCTACCGTCCCTGCGTGCTTGGGAACTGCACTCACGATGGGTGCTGCGTGACGCAACGTGCGCTGCGTCGGCGGTGCCCGGTCCTTCTCGAAACAAACGGCAGCCTTGGAGGGCCCTTTGGCGTGCGCCTTGGGCGGTGTCGCGAACGCCACCGAGAGATCCAAACTGTCGGCCAGGCGACAAGCGCTTCGGTCGTCCTCGACGTCCTCTTCGTGCTCGGAGCACGTGCTGTCCGAAGCCACGCTCAACGCATCGTCGTCGACCTCGGGCATCATCTCGTTCGTCGGTGCTCTACCAGAAATGGGTTTGGGCGCAGCCAAGCTGTGCATTTTAGGTGCCAGCCACGGCTTGGTCCTAGCACTTCGTC